ATTACAAGTGTGCACTGAAGGGTTCTGTATGGTTTTCATTTGTTTTAGCTGAAACACAATATTGTATGTGAAATGTATATCTGAGCAAAGATAAAATATCTAATATACATGCATCACTGATGATAAATATCAAGTTCCATCTATGGTTTAGTTACTTGAATTTCAAGTGTGTGGCTTCTAATCTGAGGAGTATACTTTGCAATGCAGTCAATGGTCCCTGGAAGGCCTTTGTATTGCTGTGGGACTGTTAGTTACCTTTAAGCTATTGCTGTGATGCTAATATATATTCACATCAAATAACCAAGTGATTCAGCTGACAGGTAAAATAAGTTCCAATACACTGGACAATACATTGTAATGCACTGTGGATAGGTTTAGCACAGAATCGTCCTTCAGTATGTGTAGTATATTAGTTTGGAATATTAATAAGAAAACATAGGACCTATGAAATTTGTATTGATGAACTTGTCTGGCAAGATTTTAGCTGTATGATATTATGATGTGCTTGCATTTTTGTGTGTTTCTATAAATAGTATTGCATCTCAGCTTACTGGTAATATAGCATTAGCTGCTTTGTATGACTGCAAGATCATGACTGCAATTGTCTGCTTTTCTTATTTTTTTATGTTAATGTGTTTTTTTTTCATTTCTGCTTTTCAAATTTCTCAGAAGTCAGTCTACTGGTCAGTTTGGTCTGGAATGTTTAGTCCAGCAAAACTAATGCATACCCAATAGTGTCTTAAATGTTTGGTGAATATATATATATTACACATATATATAAACATACATACATACATGTATGTATGGATGGATGGATGGATGTATGGATGGATGTATTTTCTCACTTGTGTAAATTGGAAAGAGAAAAAACATTTTTTCTCAAAGTTTATTAAAAAAAGTAAACTACTGCTGTTTGTACTGCAGCCAGCCATGAAAGACTTTCCGCTAAATAGGAAAGCTTTCAGCAGTCAGTCTGTTATTTAACAACAGCTGTTTGTGATCAGTGCCAGTGGAAATCACTTGTTTTCACCCATTCACAAAGAACGGGCTGGTAAAAGGGATTCCAGGAATAGGTACAGTCTTTCACACAAAGTTTAAATAAGCCATATTGTATGATGGTGCCATTTACAATGTAACATAATTATGATTTCTAATGAGATTTTTCCAGAAATCAGACATAGAATAAAATTAGGATTCATCATAGAATTGTCTGGTTGGAAGGGTCCTTAAGACCATCTAGGTCCAACCCTCCTGCCATACAGGCACATCCTGCCACCTTCCATTAGCCCAGGTTTCTCAGAGCCCATCCACTGTGGCCCTGAATAACTCCAGGGATGGGGCATTCACAGCTCCTCTGAGCAGCTTGTTCCAGTGCCTCACCACCCTCGCAGTAAAGAATTTCTTCCTGATATTCAGTCTAAAGCTACCCTCTTTTCAGTCTGAAGCCACTATCCCTTGTCCTGTTGCTTCATGCCTTTGATAGATTTTTACAAAAGAACTGAGCAAATCAGAGCCCTAACTATACTTCTGACCTGTTAGAAAGTACATGGAAATTTTCACTGCTGTGCTTCTGTTTCTATCCTGACTGTCTTCATCAATTTACACTTTTTTTTTTGTCAGACTGAGTGTATAGCACTGGAAACAAGCAGACAAGAAATGCCATTCTCAGTTGGATCCAGTATCCCTCTGTCCCACTACTTGGCATCTAACAGTAGTAGGTGATGTTTAGACAGATCCCCAGATCCTGTTCCCTCTCTGTGGTCCCATTCCCTTGGGCTCCCCAGCATTCAGAATTGGTGCATTTGGAAGAGTATTGCCCTGCCTAGTTCTTTAGTATCCATTGAGAATCTGTCTCACGGTCTTAAGAAGCAAGTAATTCACAAGAAGTTTTTTACAAACTAAAATATCATCACTGGCAATCTCAGTGGTGACAAAAGTGCCAAAGCCTAACTTGGCATGCCTTCAGTTGGGCGATTCTGCCTTCCACAGAGACTCTAAGCAATCCTACTATCATGTGCATGCAGCAGTAGCTGCACATCCTCTGTATTTGAGATCCAGCAGCCACACCTCAGACACATCAGATGAATTACACCTGTTGCTCTCCATCGATTATTACAGACACTTGGAATGGTTGGCAGATGTATTTGTCTACACAGTAGATGACTGAATGTGGATCAGATAAATTCCCACTTGCTAAGCCTAGATGTAAACTCCCACGCTAGGAAAAAATTGGTCTGAAAGCTGGATGAATTGCCCTCTTCACTCACATGGGTTTTGGTAACATCATCTCGCTGATTTTATGAAACTGGTATTGCTGTGCCTACATGAATGTGTCCTGTGTGTTAAGTGCTTCACAATACTGAGAGTTCCAACAAACATGAAAGTAACTTAAGCATTTTTGAAAATGTAAAGTTTTGCTGATTTGAATCCCTGAAGGTGAGTGTTGCCAAAGAGTTCAAAAGCATTTTTCTTCCTGTTGTTACTAGCATTTATGGCCCGTGCAATAAAAATTTCTAATTACTGGAAAGATTCAAGGGAGGCAGGAAAAAAACCTCTCCTTTTTATGCCTTTGTGAAGTTGTTTTTCTGTGTTGTGTAAAAAGAACCTGTTTTATTTAAAAGCTTTTCTTTTTCTTCATTCACATTCTTTAAAAGCTTTTCTGTATTGTAATTTTAAAAATGAATGTGGTTCTATTCAAATAAAAGTTTACTTTTAATGGCATTTATGCTTCATATGATAGAGCACCTTCATTTAGTTAGTTATACATAGGCAGTCAGCAGTGTTATGAACTGTTTCTTTTTTACTAAGCAGTATGCAGATCTCTGGCATATTCCACAAAGGAAAGGGTGGGTTATTTTAAAGCCTTTATTTGACTTGATCATAAAGCATGGGTACTAGGCTAGTGTTTTATGACATACTCAAGTATGATTAATAATTTTAACTATGCTGGTTCCCCCATAAGATCAATATTATAGAATTTTTCCAGTCACCATTTCAATGTATTTTAATTGAAATTGATTTCCTATGAAATAATAAATTGAAGCCTATTAACAATGGTCTTATGGTCCTTGACATTCAAGTTCTGACTTCTAACAAAATTCTGGACAGATTTTAAAAAACACATTATTTACCTCTACAGAGAATAAGTATTCATGAAGCACCTGTAATTTTTGGTGTTAATTCCAGTAGATGACAGCATAAATACAGCAGCCTTAATTTGAAACAGGAATGTGAATGGAAATGTGGCATAGAATTGTTGTTTTTAAAATAACTTATTTCTCTGTCAGCAGTTCAACAACAGTTCTATTGTATGATCTTAAAATTGAAAAATATTTTTATCAGTAAAAGTGCATGCCAGTCACATGAATTATTAGAAGTTACCTATACAAAGAAAAGATACATTGAGAAAATCTGCAGAGAGCAGCTCTGTAAGAACTTCTGTTTTTCCAAAGGTATCACCTGGAGGGCATTGAGTCAATCTTTGATTATTTTTCTCAGGATCAGAGTGATAAGTTGAGTTTCAGGCAGTTTGTACTTGGCAGTACCACAGTTCTGAAGCTCCTCAATCCCACTAAGTTTTCATCCACATTTTAGAGCTTATTCTTGGTTAAGTTTATCCACATTGTTGGAATAGTTTGTTTATGTACATTTGGCTTAATCAGTGGCTTCCACCTGAAGACAACCTGATTAGAAAATAGGGTCAGGATTGGCACAGTGTGTTATATCCAGCCAGCCTGGTATAACATGCCAGGACTCTGACTTGGCATACTTGTTCAGCTACACAAGAAAGCTGTGTCTCTTTCCTCAGGAACTGTAGAGATAAGCAAGTTAGACACTTTTGTATCTGAGGAAAAAGACATGTCAAGGTTCCCTCGCAAGCTTGAGCACAGTCTGAAGGCATGTACATTGCCATGGTCTTGGAGTTTTGAGTCCTCTTCACTAGAGAGAGGATTCACATCTTCCCAGTCCATTTGTCTGGCACACCCAGCTGCCATCAGCTGGCAATTCATGAAATGAGATGGAGTTGAAGCAGCTCCAACACCTGGACCTGGAAACAAGTAATTTTGTCATATTCTTTCTTTAGTGAGACCAGTTAAGAGGCTTACTTCTGGTAGCATCAGTTAGCAGACACTTGCTTTTCCACATTGAAAGTGCACTGTTGTGTAGGACTTTCAGGAGCTGGATTTTGAGAGAAAGATCTTAAAGAAAAAAAGTCTTGCACAGCAGAAGGAGTGATGCAAAGCTTCTATTCTTAAAGTTTATTCTCCAAAGTCCTCTAAGTCCACCAAAGTCCTGTGTTTTTTGTTTTCTTTCCACTTTGGCATATGTCAGAGGTAGAGATGGGGAGAGAATGGTGGTCACATTTCCTTCATTCTTTCAAGTGTTAGGTAATTCCAGTCTTTCTTAGGAATAAAGAGGAAAGCCTTCTTTCTTACTCTATTTCTTTTGGTTTTCATTCAGTTAAGAACTCCTGAGGAACTGAGGACTGTTGTTAAAGTTGGACCAAGAAATTAATATCTCCTGCTCTAGTTTTATTTTATTTACTTTCCCATAGTCTAAATGTTTAGAGGGCTGGTTAGACTACAGTTGTCTGCTGAAGACTTTCTTTACAGAGAGTGTAGCTATGTGAAACACTTTTCAGCAGTTCTTTTTAATTTTCTGTCATAGGATGCCAGGATAGTCCAGCTGTATTTTATGAGTATTTAAAGAATGTTGGATGGTGGAAGGAGCAATCATCTTAGACAATGGACCAGCTTTTACAAGTATCAGGCAATTAAGGATGCAGATAAACCTTTGAAAATTCCCTGCATTGATCACTCCCAGTATCACAACAGTTATAATGCTCAGTCTAAACTTGAAAGACTTGGAAGCAAACAAACTGTATTTCAGATGAAAGAGATAGGAAAGAGGAAGGGAAGGATACTTCTACCTCTAAAGCCCCACTGATAAATCAGTTGTCACCTGGGTAGGTTCTGACCAGATCTTTCTCTGGATTCCAGAGCTGCTTTAATGCCTGCCTGCCTGGCTCCCATCCATCCTGTTACAGTGGTTCTGTGACACTAACCACTGACAGCGTTGACTTTTGTATGTCTCTGCTCAAACCTGGAAGGTTCTGAGGGTCATCAAAAGGCAGCCAGCCCTCACAGCCCATCAAGGTAATGAATGTCTTTTTGCTAGGATGGATCTTCGTTCATTGACAGATCTGTGAGCTTTTTTTGTCTTTTTCTAGAAATCATATGAAACCTCCTTTAGGTGTGGAGGTTTATCTCAGATTGCATAAAAAAAAATTGTGGTTTATTTTCTTCTAATCCTAATAAGCTCTTTTCCAGTGAATTATTATTTTTTACTGATATTTGCTTGCTAGATTTGTTTGTTGGTAAGTTTTCTTTGTCCCTTCTTAAATATCAGCTGCTGTGATAAGCAGTAAAATGTGTGACTGTTGCTTTGTCAGCAACTCATGTTTTCCTCTATTATACTGTTACTGCTGTTCTTGACAACTTTTTGGTTCTCTCTAGTAATAGAAATGTCACTGTGGGAATTTTACTTTACTTCTACATGGCTTAGCTGATCACAGGATAATCTGGTGTGAGAGAATATGTGCTTTACAAATTTCTTTACAATTTTCTTTTGATCCAGATGCTCAGAAACCAGGCTATTTAAGTGACGAAGGAAAATAGATGCTGGGACAAGAAGAAAACTCCTATTATCAGGGATGTCTCTAAAAATTAGGAGCACCTAAAAATAGTATCTTCCTTAAGTTTCTACTGTTTATAATTAATTTGACTAGAGTCTTTGGGAACGTCTTTAGCTGACTTAAAACTGACCCTTACTCTTTGTGTATTTATTCTGTACCAATTCTAACACAGTAAACAAATAGCAAGAGTAGCTTCTCTAGTAAGAAGAATCTAAATTTATGTCTATCACCAGCTATGATTTGGTTTTATCCCAATTATCTCCCTTTGAAAATTGGCGACCTCAACTTTGCTCTTGGTTCTGTGTGGGCAAATGAAAGAGTAATGCTCCATTGATTGCAGAGAAATTGAAGCTAGTGAAAATGAGAGCAGGATCAACCCCATTTTTCCTCTACAGCATGAGACTGTAAAGCCCAGTCAAATCAATGAAGGGTACCAATGACTTTGTTGACCTTAGAATCAAATCCATAAACCTTTTCATAACTTAAAACCACAAATACAGAAACATAAGGGTTCTGCTCTCTAACCCAGCATAGGTCTTTGTCAAATTGAAAAATACAACTTCTTGCCAGTTTTACTGTAAAAATACAGTTTTGATATTTTATTGTATTTAGGAATTTTTTCTTAACTATATAAGACATATTTTTCACTTAGTCTCAAAAACTCCTTTGACAATGTGCACTGCCTATGTTATTTGCAATCCTAATTTCATTATCACTGCTGGAAATGAAAGTAAAAGCTGCACTTTTATCTTATACTTTATAGTCATGCTCAGTGCTAAATGCCATAATCAAAGATAAAAACTATTATACTGTCTTTTAGCTTAAGCAGTTTGAAGAGTCTTTGTCACACTTTATCCAGCTAAAACTTTAGTGTCCAGTTGAATGTTTCATTGTTTACATTCCTCAAATAATCAACAAAGAACAAAACCCACCCTCAGAGATCATCGGTGCCCTTCTAAAACAGGTGCCTGTGATAGATGCAATATATTGCCCTCTGGAATTTCCTGCCTCTGTAAGATGGAGGACTTGCCATTTAATTCAGGACGCCTAAATTTAACAGAGGAAAAGTAGGCAGTAGCTTTTCCAACTTTATGCTTTTCAGAATCAAGAGTGTAACAGTGATGTTCCCACTGCTAATTTGACAGCAAACTTGCACTGCCTTAGTATAGTCATTTTATTTCTTTATCTGTATCTGTTAGCAAAATCTGGTTATGCTATGCCTTTAAATTGCACTTTTTTCTGAAAGTGATAACATCATCTTTCATATTCTATTACTTTTTATTAACTTTTTTTAATTAAGCCTAATTACTATTCACTGGTAGTAGAATTAAAGCAACACTTAGGTGTTCATAGGTGAGCATTTAAGGAGTTGTACATTCTGGGTTAAGAGTCTTGGGTTTTTTTTCAGTTGTTATTTAAATAATTCTTTAGTCAGAAGCAGACATGGATGCATTTTATATATTGTCTTGGGATAGGTTCATAACTTACCTTCACTTCAGCAATTTTTCTCAGACACGAGTGCTTTAATAAGTGCAGTTAGACAGATCTTAGTCCTCTGAGTTCTTCTTTCATCTGGATATGGTTGAGCCTGATATAAATATTAAATAAGTTTGTTTGTTTGTTTGTGGATTTGTTGTTTGTTTGTGCCTCTGTGGAGCTGATCCAGTCTTAGCCAGGAAGGCCAGGACCAGGCTGAGAGCCCCATATGGAATGCCCACTAGGAACTGAACTTTTACCTTATCATTCAGAAAACTTACTGAAAACAACTTCTGTTTCATATGATTAATTAGGACACAGTTTCAATTAAATAGAAAAGCCAGTAAAACCTAACAAAAAAAGAGATAGTGATGCAGAAGGGTGACTGAAAAAAACAAGTTTCTTAATATGTCTTTTGTTTGGGCTTTCTTTGTCCCCTTTAAAGCTCTCTTGCATTCTCATGCAGCTCATTCTTTTTATTGAATACTAAAGCCTTTACCATCTGCCAAAAGGTTTTATTTTGGGGTTTCCTCTTATGTGGGAGGGTGATTTCCTCCTTCCCTTCATGCTAGTTTCATTGCTATCTTTAGGACTCGGAGCCTACTGGAGACCTTCCTGTCTCCTTTTTATGACACAGTCTCCTCCTTCCGTGCTGCAAGTTCCTGCTCCCAGGGGCAGGGAAGAAAACAAGAGCTGAGGCTGTCTTTGAGCTGCCTGGCTGATGCCAACAGCTTTTGTTTTAAACTCAGGAGTCCAGTTCCTGGAGTGCAGGGCTGCAGGGACTCCTCCCCCCACGTTCCTGGGCTGGGGGTTTTTAGGAACAGTTCCCGTGCAAAGGCCATGTGCAGCCTCCCTGTGCTTTGGCAGCAGAGTGCAGTGGCTTCTGAAAAAGGGTGCTGTAATCTGTAGCATTTACTCTAAAAGCAGTGTATCCCTCTCTATTTGTTAGTCTTTTACCTCAGCACATTAATCCAACCTGTTCTGCCATTGTTAAGACATCTATAGCCAGAGCCCTGCAGTTTCTTCCTCTTATGGGAACTTTAGATGTTTATTTTTTCTATGAACGTATTGATTTCCTATCTTTACCTTCCTTGTGCTGCAGAGAAAAAGAAGTGAAATTGAAGTATTATGTTTGCAGAGGGATAGAATTACATCTTTCTTTTTTTTTAATTTCTGAGAGCAAAATAAAGCAGATGGCAGTGTGGGTTTTTCAGCATAGCTCTCAAGGCTGCAGGGAATACATACAGCTGTAGTGGGGTGTGAGTATCCAGATGTTGAGCCATGAGCAAGGAGAAGAAGGCTGTGAGCCCTGGTCATGTAGCTCCATTTAAACCTTTGCTGTGGAGCTCTTCAAAGTACCTGCCACCATCTCTCTTTGAAGGAGATGCTGCATGGAAGAAACAAAGGTTCCTGCCTTTTCTCTTCAGCCTCTGCCTGCTGGGAGTGAGAGCATCTCTGTCTGAGGATTGTGCAGTCCTGTTGCTGCCTGTCCTAATTTGCTGTACAGCTGAGCCTGTGACTGGAGGCAGTGTGAATGTGGAAGGCAAAGGGAGTTGTGCTGGGTGTCAGATCACCTCCTGAGGGCTCTGCCAGCATCCATATCAACCAAATTATGCCTCTTTTTGAGTGCATTTCTGGCACTCCTTTTTTGATATTTTAGTTAATCACTGGCATTACACCAAACAGCATGTCAGGTAGTAATAAGAATGTAATATAATTTTATTTGTGATTAGCTCATCTCTTGGGCTCTGAGATGTTCTAATCTTTGTCCTTCCGTCATCACCCAGGTTTCTTTGGACCTCTGTCATTTGGTTTATTTACTCTCCCTCTGTAATTGAAAACTTTATACTGTTGATCACCATGAAAAATGTTCAGTGCTAAAAAATAAATGATACATTTTCCGTCCCTTCAGTGTTTCTAGTTTTTCTGACTGCAGGAATCTAATACAAGGTTGGAATGTGGATGAGGAGGATGAGGGTGACCCAGGGTGTTACCTAAATGCCTGATCTACAGATAAAAAGCAGTGCTGGGATTTCTGTTCAGGAAAGTGCCAGAAAAACTGCCTAGTTCTTAGCACTGCCTATTTTAATGACATTCAGTTCCAAACTCCAGGTACAGCATTGCACAGAGAGGTCAGTGGTGCCCATTTCTAACAGCAGAATGGTGCAACATAACAGCCTGAGATGACATTCTCCTGGAAAATAAGAGGGCTGTGTGAAAAAAATTCAAGCAGGAGACACATGTATCTCGTCATTTAGAGAGCAATGCTTTGTGCTTCTGATTAAATGCAGGTTTCCATGTTCTCCCTGTCACAGATGCACACACATGCACATACTCTAATTGGATAAAACTGTAAACAGTAAATTAAGGATATGATTAAAAATTAAACAGCCACTGCAGAAAGCATCAGTAGTAAATGCTTTTTAACTTACACATAACAGCATGCTGGTGTGATAGCTTCAAATTGCCTGCTGAAACTGATTTGCAGCAAATAAGGCCAGCTTTCTAAAAGATATTTCTGGGTTTCAGTAATCAGACCCTCAGCTATGATTGCTTGGTTTTTTCCTTCACAATTTTTGCCAGCCTTTTTTAAGCAACTGATAATGTGCCTGACTTTCTTTAACTACAGTGGGTGATGTACTTAATCCTTTGCTTCTGCTGCTTAGTGGAATGAGTCAGTATGGGTCTGATCCAGCTTTGTCCTCTCTCATGCACTGCAAGACTTCTGTGGTTTGCCTGTGGTTTTATAGGGCTTCACCAGAGCCTCTGTCCATTCTAGAACTTGGAACCCACCTTGCTGGCTGTTTATGTGCACACTGCATGATGAGCTGGAGGGCAAAGTGGATTTATACAAATTCACTTGCCCTTCTGTACTAGTTTGAAAACAAACCCCTGGGAGATTCCAAGTCAGAACTACAGTTAAGTAGGAAAATTTAAATAAAGGCAGAAGACACTGGCTTAAACTGACAGACTCTCAGGATACAA